ATCACTTTAGTTCGGTCATTAGTTTGTGCATGATAAGTAGTTGAGAAATTAAAATGCATTCCTATTTTCTTTCAAAGAGTATTAAAAAATAGTCATCGATTTTACATCTCAATAATAAACAATTGGTTTAGGTCAACCATTAATCACTTCATTAGAATATATTTTAACAGTGTCAGCATGATTGGATCTATAGTGGGGACACTGGAGGCACGTCCAACCACTAGTTCGAGCCTATCCCACTATGTTGTCCAATTAGGTGAATCCTCAACCTTTCGCTCAATTCCACTTTATTTTATGACTTCGGATAAAAAAAATTTATAAAAAATAGAAACTAAATACAGAGCAAATATCTAGATTGAGAAATTAAAAATACATAATTATCCTAACCAAATCATATGATTCTACCAAAATTAATACTAACTTCAACGCAATGACTTGGATGTTTGATATCGACCTTGGTTAAATAACTAAAAATACATATATCTTGTATGCTTTGGGGTGATTTTGTATGGGTTCAAGCAAATGAATCAAGCATAAAAACTATAATTCTACAATGCAAATTAGTTTGTGTTGCTTGAGGTTTAACATTTTCATTGTAATGATATTGCATTGAGAAAAATTGATAATTTTTGGATGAGACTACAAATAAAGTTTGAAACATTCTTCATCTCCAAAAGGCCCATATCAAGTCCAGAATGATATCAAGACAATGAGTTTTAAAAAGATCCAAGAACTAAATCAAAATCAAATTAAAAGATGTGGTTCATTCCAAGTTTAAACATCAGGTAATTCAGGATCAAACAAACTCATCAAGTGTGCTAGCTGGATTGAAACTAATATTACCCAACCTAAGTTGCACCCCTATTAGCTGCCATTTGGGTTTGGGCATACCTAGCACATGAGGCTTCAGAAAATGGAGAATCTATGGAGTTAATGAATGCAATCTTATCATGAACAACTCCAGTTTTTACATGACAAGAACACTTGAACGTTAGGCAATGAAATAACTTAATTTTTCATAAAAAAAAAATGTGATTTGGCTCAAAACAAAATGGCTGGGCATTAGTCCAATTAGATTAGATTGGTTATCCATCAAGGAAAGAAGTGATTAAGTGGTTAAAAGATCTGTTTTGCTAACCAGTGAGAACATAAAGGCAAGAGAGGGAGGGGAGAACAAGGCATCTGTTCTTAATTTATCCTATCCTTCACTCTATCAAAGGAGTTTTCCAATCCAACGACCACTAAAACTTTATTAAGATGGTAGTCGAAGGGCATCACGTTATGTTTAATGCATGCTTTGTTGATTCAAAGGATTTAACAGTTTTTGTTTATGTTATTTGGAAACATTGTTTAAAATATTTTGGAATTTATCTAGTTGGCTTCTAAATTGATCTAAATTGAGCCTGCTTAGATTCTTGCAAGTGTGATAGCCTAACAAATGTAATTTGCCTATATCAATTTTGTTAAAGTTGGACTAATTAGGTTTTCCTTAATTCAAAATTTATCTTACAGGTTTTGATATAATTAACCTAATTAGTGAAGATTCATGAAAGCTTCGGTGAGTTAGGGATTATCCCATGTTTAGGTACGAGTTTCCTATTTTAGTTAATTTTTTCTTGAATTTTTAATTTTTAATGAATTAAACCAACAATAATTTATTAAATCAGTAATTTTCTATAAATTAATATTTTCAATCATTGTGGGACTTAGTAATTAGGAAGCCATACATTTATTGAGAGGTTTGATGGAGAAATATAGAGAGAATAAGGAGGATCTACATATGATATTTATTGATTTAGAGAAAGCATATGATAAAGTTCCAAGAGAAGTGCTATGGAGAGTTCTTGAAAAGAAAGGAGTTAATAATTCTTATATTCAAAATTCAAATCATTAAAGATATGTATGCATGAGCTATTACTTGTGTTCAAACACAAGGTGGTTTGACCAAGTATTTTTCTATTTCGGTTGGATTACATCAAGGATCAGCCTTAAGTCCATATCTTTTTGCTTTAGTCATGGATGTTCTCACTAAACATTTGCAAGAGGATGTACCTTGGTGTATGCTTTTTGCTGATGATATTCTTCTTGTTGATAAGACTAGAGAGGGAGTTGAAGGTAAACTTGAATTATGGAGGTCAACATTAGAGACTAAAGGTTTTCGCTTGAGTAGATCAAAAACGGAATATATGGAGTGTAATTTTAGCAGTAATAGTCCTAGTGAGGGGATTGTGACTTTGGGCAATCAAGTCATTAATAAGGTACTACGTTTTAGATTATCTTGGATAATTGGTTGTTCAGAGGTGATGGTGAAATTCGAATGGGGATATTTATCAGTAGTAATTCACAAAATGGATGGGTCGAGAGTGGAGGAATGCATCGGTCTTATTGTGCCGATCAGAAAAGTCTCCCCTCAAACTTAAGTTGGAAAATTCTATAAGATGCGTGTGGGAGACCTGCCAAAAATGCTTTTAAAAATGGTGCCGATGTTTGGCCGCATTAAAAGAAGAAGAAGCAAATACTAAGTTAAGTGTTGCAGAGGGAATTGTAGGGATGCCGTAGGGGTTGACGCACTTAGAGATATGGATATCAAACAATTAAGCATATACGTGAAAAGGTTGAGTAGCTCCATGGAAGATAAAAATTAGAGAAGAGTCGCCGGCCTTAGATGGTTTGGTCACATTAAACGGATAGGCTTGCTGATGACCCGGATGCTAGGAAAGTTGAGGTATATAGATCTTGACTTATGTTTAAGAAAAGTAGAAGTAGATCTTAAAAAGAACTCTGGGTAGAAAATATTGAATGAATCTTTTTTTATTTAGATTTACAAGAGAATTTGACTTTTAATTTGACACAATAGCGAAAAAGGATTCATGTAGCCAACCCCACGTAGTGGGACAAAGGCTTGATGTTGTTGTTGTTGTTGTGAGACTTAGTAATTAGGATTAATTGCGAATTGTGGCGTTAAATTAGGGAAAAGAGTCTTTGATGCCATTGGAGTTGAGTGGATTGAGTATAAGGGCGTCTCCTACGATGGTAGATGGCATACTTATTGTAGGGTAACTATTCCTTGGCTATAAAATATGACTTTTATCATTATGCCCTCAATTGATATGAATTAATGGTACATAAGCTATGATGCACAGACACGAACACGGCAGCATGGATACGACACGACACGAAAATGAAACACGTTAATTATTGAAAATATAGGACACAGACACAAGTTGGACATGGTATTATAATTTTTATTTTTAAAAATAGTGTATAAAAATAAAATGAGTATAATATTAAAAATAATTTAAAATAATAAGTCATTTAACTAGAATTTATGCGTAAAATAATTAATATTAGAATGTCGAGAGTCACGTGTTAATGTCGTGTATCAGGCATCGAGAGAGGAGATGATAATGTTGTTGAGAGTCAGGCATTAATGTTATGCAATAAGTATCAGGCGACGTCGAAGTCAAGAGGGCATCTGTCGTCGATGTCGAGAGGGTATTGGTCGTCGATGTTAAAATGAGTTGGATAAAGATGAGCTGTCAAGTTGTGGGTGTATAAATTACTAGCGTCGAGCATCAATGTCAAGACAATGTCAAACTTTGATGTTGAGATGGTTTTGAAATGTCGATGTTGTAACAACATCAGACATCAATGTTGAGATGACATTGATCATTGTTGTGAAACTAAAGTCACGGCCCACCAAAGAGAAAATAAAATGAGAATATTTGATGAATGGGGTATTGAGTGCAGGCGATTGATTAGATGTTGTTGAGAGAAAATAAGAAATTTAATTTTTATATTTTAAATAAATAAAATTATATTAAAAAATTCATAAAATATTTAAGATGCACGCATCAGACACACATGTTCAATTTATATGTAATATTTTTTTTAATAAGACACATTTTCGGCGTGTCTAACACATGTCAGAGATGTGTCAGATGCATGTTGTGTCGGATACTGCACGCCTTTTTGAGGAGAAGTGTCGGTGCATCTTAGTGCATAAGTATAACCACAAACTTTCATTAAATACTACTTTCTTGATCTTAATTCATCTATATGAGCAACCTCTAATGATTGCAGGTTATTGATTTAATTCCAAAAAAAATACAATGGTTTAAATCTGATTTATGTGATATCTCCCAGCATATCTTTAAAATGCATACCCTTGATTGATATCTCATTTGCTTCAAACTTATCACCCAAGCTTTAAATTTGACAGCAAATTAGACTCTAATCTTAAAAAACTAGTGAATATGTGAAAAAACTTAATTTGAGCATTACCACTTATGTTACCACCATTTTATTTATGGCAGGTACACTGATGAGCTGATGTCATGGGAAGAAATTTTGTATTGATCGACATCATTTCAGCTCTATCTGATATTTATAGGTTCCCTTCTATTATGTGGGGCGGTGTCTTTATTTGGTAAGCATCATAGTTTTGGTTTTATTTGGTTATACGATTTCATAAATCACGTTTACATTCTATTTTGGTGGATAAACTGTGGCCGTGTGGATATTAAGGTTTGGTTTCTTTGATTGATTTTATTGGATATCTTGGGTATAATAATGACGTTAGGATTTTCATGTATATAATTTGGAAAAATTCACCCTGTTTAGATGTCATTTTGTCAAAAAATTTGGAATCTAGCAACTTAACAATTGCTCCAAACTAAAATCCTGTCAGAAAAGCAGTCGTGGTTCTCCTACTAATGCATGTACCAAAATGTTCATCACTACATTTCTTTCAGACATTAGATGCTTTCAATCAATTACTGGCAGCAAGTAAAACTGATTCCAATCAATTAGACAGTAATTAACACACAAATATCACAAATTTAACAATCATTGCTATAAAAATTGGAACAATTTTCTAAACTCTTTCTCTAGATACATTTCAGAAAAAAACCTAGAATTTCTCACATCAATCCAACAAAAACAAAAGGTTAGCAAATAACTTTCCAGCAAAGACAAGAGAAGAGATGGAAGAATCGGACCTGAAAGTGGCGGCCATCGAGCTTCTTGATACCGTAGCCGAGTTGCACTGTGCCGAAGGATTTGATGTCGGTGATGACTCCGTTGCACTGGAAAATGCGCTTGCCCAATCGAGCGACCAGATTCATAATCGCTTCTTTCTTCACCGAAGTCTTCGCAAGCAGCATGCAATCGTATAGCGGCATTTCTCCTGCTCCTCTTCCTAATTCCCCTCTTTTGCCTTTTCTGCCTGTGCTCCTCGGCGGCTTCAACAAAGTTAACCAAAGCTTACTAGGTTCACTTTTATTTAATTTTTTAAAATGTTTATTAAATATATTTTTATCTTTTTTTTTTTTAATTTTTTAAAACAAATCAAATTAATCCAAAAAAACATTCAAAATAATTTTATATTATTTTAAATATTTTTTAAAAAATAATTGTCATCACTGGTGTTGGACACTAAGTCACTAATATCACTATTATTTTATTTTTAATTATCATTGTCACTTATATCACTATCGATAAAGCACAATACTGTCATCATAGCTCAATGTTGTCTTAATAATATTGTCATTATAAGTAGGGGTACAAATGAGTCGAGTTCAGCTCAAATCATAACTAGTTCGTGCTTGGCTTGCTAAATTTTCAAGTGGCTTGAACTCAAGCTACGTGCTAGCTAACGAGCCAAATTGAAGGATTTTTATGAAATTTTTACCTTCAAATATCAACCTTATCAAAACTATTCAAAAAATTAAATTTCAAGTAAAATATGACAATGGAAACAGTGCTAACATTCAATAAGAAAAATATCAAATGTTGAAAATAGCACAATAACACAAAGCTCAACCCTACTTAGAACAGCTCAAACAACTAATGCTACAATAACACATTTAATTGCAAATAGATAAGATCCAAAACATAAACTACAACCAAACATCATAGAAATGCAAATGCAAATTCTCATCACAAAGTTCAAATTACAAAGTTAACCAATAAAAATAATTTCTCCGTTCTTTCTTCATCTTTGAGAACTTGCATTTGACAACAAGAGCATTCGAATGCTTGGCTAAATTTAAAGATAACCGAAAATATATAAAAGAAATAATCACTATAATATTATAAAAGATCACGTCTCCAAGCCTTCAGCATCCTCTCATAAATTTTGGTGCAAATCTACAAAATTTAAAAAAATTGGTAAATCATTTGGAGTTAGCATTGATTATAAAAAAAATTAAATAAGATGCAGTTTATCGTGACAACTATCTTAAGTGTACGGTATTGATATCTCAATCTCTTCATCATCTTAGTCTTCATACAAAGTATGTTAGAGATAAAATGAACTTTAAAAAATTATTAAATCATTACAAATGAATACATTTGTCTTGTCCTTCAATTCATAATGAGCACGAACCTAATTTGAACTTCATATTAAAGCATGTACTATTTCAACACCCAATTTAGAATGATACATATCCACAACTCTCTCTTTCCTGCTGAGAATGTAGATTCTAAAGCAACTGTGATGATAGAAATTGACAGCATATCCATAAAACTATTCTTGGCAATATGCGATATTTCGGTATTTCACTTTGTTGCTCATATTGCCATTTCAATTCCTAAGATCCCGACAAAAAAATGTCTAATAATAAAAAATAAGATTTCTAACTGGAAATGCTTAGACACGGGTGAATTTTATATGGGAAAAGCAACTTGACTATTCTAGCCGTAAAAAATAGCTTTCCATTACAAAGTTGTTTGAAAAGTAATAATATAGTAACAAGAAAGAAATAGTCAAGCGAAATTATGGTTGCCATAAAAAATAAAAAATAAAAACAAAATAAAAAACTAAGAAGCTATCCTAAATAGACCTTAAGGGTCCATTTGAGACAACTATAATTTCTTGTAAAGGTGGTTATGAAGTTGTTGTGGAGTAAGTTTTTAGAAGATGTTGTATTGAAAAACTTTTTGGCATAAAAATTTCCTAAAATCAATGGCTAAACATAAACTATAGTTACTATCTAGAGATTAAAACATAATAAAGATGTGCCATAGGAAGCCTAAGTCTTGTGATTTGTTTAACAACTATGCTTAACTTAGGAATTTTTATGGTCCAATAAATCTTATATATAAATCAAAATTCTAAATTTAATAAACCCATGTATGTAGATGAAATTATCTTTGAAGATAATTTCAAATTTGAATAAGATTTTTTTTTTTCTTAATTAATGTGTTTTTAACAAATTTTTTAAAGGTTTAGATATATTTTAGATTGAATTTTATATAATTAAATAATCCCAATCGATATTTATCTATATATTTGATACGTCATCATAAAATTATCTTGATCGGGCACGAATCTTGAGGCAAAAATTAAGATGGAAACTTCAAAAATTAATTTGGAGACCGTCTCAACTCCGATTTCAGCAAACTTATAGTCGAACTGAACGTCTCGGAAATACAAACCCAACGACACCGAATTCGACTCAATCCGAGCTCAAATGAGTCTAAATCAAGGACCCAAAGTGGTTTTGGAAAGTTCAAACCATAATTTGAGTTACCAAACGGTTTTCAAACAAGACGTGCTTATAGTCGAATCGAGCGGCTCGACAAGACGAATCCATCGAGCCCAAGATCGTCAAATTTTGACATAATTAAGACCTTCATATGTCTGACGAATGATACACGATCAAGGGATTCAATATCGGCCGTCCATCCTACCACTCCATATTTACCTATGATCTCTCACCTATTTACAGGCCATGCCACTCCATAATATATATAAATAGCCCCTCATTTCTCTTAAGGAGGGGCCCAAGCCAAGACCCAAGCAAGAAGAACAAGAGAATGATAGGAGGGAAGAGACTCCTCCTCGTCCACTACCGGAATTTCGCGACTTCCATGGGACGCCGGAATTCAGCCCGACTTCCATGGGACGCCGGAATTTCGCCCGACTTCCAAGTGACGCCGGAATTTCGCCCGACTTCCACGAGACGTCGGAATTCCGCCCGACTTCCAAGTGACGCCAGAATTTCGCATGACTTCCACAGGACGTAGGAATTCTGCCCGATCTCCAAGTGATGCTGGAGTTTTGCCCGAATATCATCTAACATCGGAGTTCTCCTCGGCCGTCGACTGACGTCGGACTTCTACCCGACGCCGGATCTCCGCTCGTCGCAAGATTTTTGCCCGACGTCGAACTTCTACATGTTGTCGGACTTTCGCCAGACACCTATCTGATGCTGGGTTTCTGTCCATTGCTGGATTTCTACCTGATGACATCCTTTTGACTTATGTCGCCAGCCGACTACAGTCCTTCCGACCTCCATCACCCGCTGACTACGGTCCTTCCGACTTACATCACCGACCGATTATAGTCCTTCGGATCAAACAAATACATCAGCAGTGATTCTTTGTATTCTTGTCATATAATGTACTCTATAAGATGTACATCAAGCTAAGGCCTTCCCTCAATGAAGGACCTCATTTGTAATCAATTGCAATACTAAGGGATTCATTCAAACTAGGCTAGGCACCGTGGTTTTTCCCCCTTTTAAGGGGTTTTCTACGTAAAAATTTTGGTGTCTTATAAATGCTACACACCCTCTCTCTTATCTGATTGAGTGCCGGATTTTCGTACAAAGCTAAGACATTAAGTTTTATATTTCTTTACCGCCGCGAATACTCTATGACGCAACAATATTTATAATTAGGGTTAATAATTCATTTGAATTTTTAAATTCTCTCCTAAATCACTCACTTGAAGTTTAATCAACTCTAAAGTTTCGTTTGGAACGGTTTTTTTTCTACTTCTTAGAAAAACTTTCTAGAACATATTTTTTTTACTAAAAAACTGCTTTAAGAAGAAATAAGCTATCCCAAACAAAACCTGAAACTTTATTTTGAATAACTTTTCAATTATTTTTATGATCAGGAAAAAGTTAATAAAAAATAATTGATGTTTGAAAAATATTTTTTTTGTCGCTTCTTCAAAAATTTTATTTTAAAAACTAGTTATAAAAAAACATTTTTAAAATTTTCTTTGGAAAAGGAGCTTTTAAAAGTAGAAACAGAAAAACTTAGGTTTCATTTGTGATAGTTTTTTTATTTATTTCTAAATCATTTTTTTAAATAGTGAAAAATGTAAGAACACAGAGCTAGCGGAGAGGAGAGGAGACACCGACGGAGCAGACAAGAAAAGGAAGAAGACCCAGATGAACAGAGGAAAGGAAATGAATGTATTATTAGATTAAATCCAAACGTACAGGTAGACATGTATTTATAGATGTACATAGGTAGAAAAGTAAATAAGTACAGAAATAATATAAGCTAAGTTGAGGCGTCCTGATATCCTCCCGCAAAGTAAGCGTTCTTTGGTTGAATGCTTAATTTGGATCATAATTCAATGAACCGGGCGGTAGCAAAAGGTTTGGTTAGGATGTCCGCAACTTGATCTTTGGACGAAATATGTTGGACGTTGACATTGCCGGACGCGATGTGTTGTCGAATGAATTGGTAGTCTATTTCTATGTGCTTTGTTCTGGCGTGAAAAACAGGATTCTTGGCTATTGCAAGTGCAGAAATGTTGTCACAATATATCGTTGTGGGATTGTGCTGTGGCATTTGAAGTTCGTCCGCAAGTCGACGTAGCCAGAGGACGTCTGACGTGGCCGCAGATAGAGACCGGTATTCCGCTTCCGTGGATGATTTTGCCACCGTGACCTGTTTCTTCACTGTCCAGGATATAAGGTTGGGGCCTAGAAATGTGCAGAAGCCGGAGATTGATTTCCGTTCCGTGCTATATATCCGATGCCCAGTCCGCATCGGAGAAGGTGTTAAGTTGTAAATCACCCTTTGTAATTGGAAGACCGAAGGAGATGGTTCCCTTGACATAGCGAAGCAGTCTTTTGAGTGCGTGGTAGTCGTGAACGGAGGGATGCTGCATGTGTTGGCAGATTCTGTTAGTGGCGAAAGCAATGTCGGGATGAGTTATAGACAGGTATTGAAGGGATCCGGCTAAGCGTCGATAGAGAGAGGGATCGTCAAAGTCTTGTTCGTGACTGTTCTGAAGCTTGGATTTTGGAGTGAGAGGAGTCGGAGACTCCTTGCAGTCAGTGAAACCACTATCGGATAGTAATTGCCTGACATAATGTTCTTGTGTGAGGAAGTATCCTGTGGAGGTTTGCTGGACTTGTATTCCAAGATAGAGTGAAATTTGACCAGGTTCTTTCAGAGCAAAGTTTGAGTGCAGGTCTTTGAGAAGAGTTTGTATGCGATCTTGATCATTAC